ATTTTATTAAAATTTTCTAAGGATATTATTTTGTTCTTCAAATTATCAATACATTCTTGTTTATCTTACACTTAGGGCATTCAGGGATATTGTCACTTAGGACATTGTCACTTGTGAATTTTATTTCAAAATCATTGACATTTGATTTATTATTGTCAGCTTCAATTTCGTTCTCAGCTTCAAAATAAATTTTCTTTGGTATTGATTCATGTAGTTTTTCAAAAACCACTCTGCATTACTTTTCTTTTCAAATGTCTCCGATTTCTTGGTGTTGTTTCATTTATTGCATATGATAAATTTACTTTCGGCACAGTATTGCATTTCAACAGTTTCTTTTGCGGCAATCCAAGCAAGCAATTTCTTATGTCATCTTCATAATCACTGCACCAGAAAATGTTCGCCATAAATTCTTGCGTTTTTCACATTAATAGAATCCTGTCTTCAAACATTCATGTATCCATTCTTTCGTCAAAAGCAAATTGTCCTTTGGGAAAGCATGAAATACAACTCTTCCTTTCGTATTTCTATAAGCGTTACGGCACGTTGCTACAGCACAAGAAGCCATATTACATAAAGGATACTTTAAATATAGAATTTAAAAGGAAAGCTGACTAAAAACTATATCTATATATATAAAGATTATTAAATATTTGCATTATAGAAACAAATATGTATGATTAAAATTAATTTGGGATATGCGACCTCCAGAAAATAGTTTTGCAAGTGAATGAAAGTACAGTTTTAAACGCGCGAAATCAGAGCAGGTGCAACACAGACACGTCAGATTACTTCCAATTCATCCCCTCCATGAGGCTCGCGTCGGCGAGGAGTCGAACAAAGAAATGACCTAGCCCTTCTATTTATCCCTGGTTTAGTGCTGCCTTTTTTATCCAGATATTTTGTGGATAAATTAAGAATATTTTAAATTTCAGCCGTTTTTAATATAATGACAGATAAGAAACGCACTCGTGATTTTACTGCTTGCAATGTTGAAAAACGTAAATACGTTGCATTGATGGTAGCGCAAAAAGTGCAAATTCTGCAAGAGAGATGAAAGCAGGTGCTACTTCTCGATTTATAGCAGAATGGTATGGAACTGCGACACGATTGTGTACGATATACGGAGAAATAAAGAAAAGCTGTTGAAATTTTACAGCAACAGGGATTCTAACACCGGAAATCTTTGCATGAGGCGAAATCGGCAAACCACGATGCTGTGTACATATAATAATACAATGAATAATATAATCAATTTATATATGTAATAATTTAATGCATATAATAAATTGTGGCAATAATGTATATAATAATTTAATTAAATGTATCTAATATGCCTTATTCATTTTGCAGTTTTAGTCCGAATATTATGCTTTATCTTTTCTGTCCTGAAATCCGCAAAAATCCTAAAATCCACACAACCTCTGGTCCCAAGCTTTGCGGATTTCTGGAATTCTACTGTATTCATCTATTTCATCAAGATCTCCCATGACATTGCTGCAAAAATTATTTTTATTTTGAAATAACCACGCAAAGAATTTTTTCTTCATGAAAATATGTACTTACAGAAAGATTCTGTATACAAAATGTATGTTTTACAGTGTGTATACAAAATGTATGTTTTACAGATTCTGTATACAAAATCAGTGATATCACATGCATATTTTTCTTTATTAGATTTATATACATACAGTGCTCCTATCTCCCAAACATGCCCTTTTTGAAATGCATTAATGATGTGTCATTTATTTCTTAAGGATGAAAGGGGGAGATGACTGGAGGGGGTCTCATCAGTCAGCAAGCAGGAGATGGTAATTGGTTTCAGCTGTATTTCTCTCTCTGTTTTGAGCTTCAATAGCAGCTTCTTTTGTAAGAAATGACCATGTATGCTTAAAATCTCTCCCTATGAAGAGACTGAATTTCTCCATGAAAATCGGAGTATTGATGAATCCATGGTTTCAAATTATGGACATCATTCAGCTAAGATGTTCATAAATGGAAAACCAATTCACTTTGGTTTCAAAGTCTGGGTGCTCTGCTCAGCAAATGGTTATCCTTATGTTATATCTATCTACAGTGGAAAAAGTTCGAAAAATGAAAATTTGCCACTTGGATCAAAAGTTGTCTCCTGATTTATTATCTTTTATTGACAATCCAGAGAAACATAAAGTATTTTTCAATAACTTTTTAACATTGCACAGTCTGCCGACAGATTTATCTAACAGGCTTTAAGGCAATCGGCACAGTATGAGATTCTAAAACAGAACAAAGTCCTCTTAAAACTGCAAAAGAAATATCAAAATTTCATTGTGGAGCATTTGATTAAGGATGCAATGGCTAAGTTTATATGTGCCATTACAACAATACTTCTGTTGTAACTATTGCATCAAATTTTATCATTCACAAACCATTAGGAAGAATAAAAAGGTATGTCCGAGCTTGAAAAAAGAAAGATGTTGTTCCACAACCTTACATCACTACAATCATGAATTTTGAATGGAAAAAAAAAAAAAAAAAAAAAAAAAGAAAAGGCTACATGTACACTGCTGCCCACAATATCATGGATACTTAGAAACTGCTAAAAAGGGTTACAAAAAATTTGTCTTTTAGAATGTTTTATAATTTTTGTACTACTGGTTGAAATCACATAAACCTTCTAAAGTATAAAATATCTTATTTTTTATTGGCAAGTTATTTTACATCTTTAAAATCGCATTTATTCATATTATGTATAATGTTAGTCAAGCTTGAACAAGTGTAAAATAGTTTTTATTGTTTTATACTTTTTGCATTGCATTTCTTATGAAAACATTTTAAAATTGCATTTATTCATATTATGTATAATGCTAGTCAAGCTTGAACAAGTGTAAAATAGTTTTTATTGTTTTATACTTTTTGCGTTGCATTTCTTATAAAATATTATGCTAACTGAAAATTATGCCAATTTTTAATGAGTTTTACTTACATTTTAGAAATTTCACATCAAATTGCTCAGTAAACCATTATTTCAGAATAAAATTTAAAAGGTTCATCACACAGTGCTTTGTTTTCATGAAGCCAAAATAAAAAATAAAAAGTTAAAAGAAAAAAAGCGTTATATGCCAATGTTTCAAGAATGAAACATCCGGGAAATCATAGACAGAAATTTTTTATGGCAGGTTTTCCCTTTTATATTCTTTACGAGTGTATTCTAATGTGACTTTAATGAATTAGTTGTCTTTTATCCTTGGATCATAGGGTGGCATGTAAATGGTTAAATTAGGTACATGTCAGCTAAACATCAAATGCTGTTGATTGAAATGACTTGTCACTTACATGCTGTATGGTTAAATGGCCTATCGGCTAAGTGTCTGTGTCGGCTAAATATCCTGTCCACTAACTGACCTTGTCGTCTGAATGTCCTGTAGGCTAAGTGTCCCATCGGTGAAATGTCCTGTTTGCTAAGTGTCCTTATCAGCTAAACGTCCTGTTGGCTAACTGTCTACGTTGGCTTAATGTCCTGTAAGATAAGTGCTCATGTTGGCTATGTGTACATATCAGCTAAATGTCCGGTTGACCAAGTGCTGTCAGTTAAAAGACTGCTACTGTATTTACATCCATAGCCCCCTTTTTAACTAATTTTTTGTATGAAAATTGAGAGGGAAAAATTATACAAATAATTTAATTTCCAAAGGATACAGTTACGGTAAGCACTAACAAATGAAAAGTACTTATGAATAATCTACTGGTGACTATAAAAATATTATTTGTTTAAAAGAAACCTGCATTCCAATACGAATATATCATTATGTTAACATTACAATATCTTCATTTCTGCTTCCCTGTATCTTGAATCTTGCCTGTCCTTATTGTTGTTCTACAGCTACTCCCTAGGCCTCAAACCACTGAAGACAGCTGGAAATGCTATCTGTATCATCTTTTACAGCTAAGTTATCATCAATTTCATTAGCTTCATTACCGTTCAGTATCTCTTCCCATGAGCAATGATATTCGGAACATAAAGAGGATTCAGGTTTTCATGAAGCTCTTGATTATATTTGCTTCATCTATCAAAACCTATTGCACCCAAAATCCAAGAGCAAATAAAAAAGTAAAATTAAAACAATTACTACATGGAAGAAACCATTTTAAAATTTAATACAACGTACTTTGTGAACACCTTGAGGAAGGGGGAAGTTCCATGCATATTTAAAAAATTTTGCAACATTGTACTAAGTAAGGGGGAATCCATGAGTAAATACGATATATTTGTCAAACTTAAAAAAATTGCTGAGGGGAAAACACAGTCATGTAAATGACGTACAACACCCTCAAAGATTATCCCCACCATTTCAGTTTCAACTCAAAATTATTTATATTATCTTATTATTATATTATCTTATTTCCTACACTCAGCTTCTAGCAATCCTATATCACCTGCAAACATATTGAATATTCCTACAATTTCTTGCTTGTGGTAAAAAGTGTTCCCTTATGTGCACAATCATCACCCAAACTAATTTGATACCCATACAAATATATATTTGTAAGAAAGATACATTCAACTGAAACGAATATAATATGTAGCAAGAGTTGGAATAAAACTTCACTTGAGAAGGTTTAATGTAAGAGGATCTGCTTTAATAATACACAAATAAATAAATAAAAATAGAAAAATGAAAAGCTATTTTCATACATCATTAAAAAAATTTTCCAATTTCAATTTTAACCCTCCGAGCATCACATGTTTGGCTCAAAAATTTCACAGTTCCCAAAAATGTAATGAATAAGTGGTATTTTCTTGATTATAATTCGAAAATGGCCCATTCACTTTGCCCATGGACTCCTTTCTTCTAATATACATCCAACCCAAAACCAGATTTATCAGGATCTAGCAGAAGTTTTCATGTCAAACAATGAGAAAGCATCTTTTGATATGGAATTTTATTACGTCCATAATCCTCAGAGGGTTAACCCACATATCTTTTCAATCTTATAATGTCTAATAATAAAAAAATGATTACCTTTTTTGAGCTTCTTGCTTGCTGCAGCAGTTCTCACAATAGTACTTATGCTCAGAGCATAGTGTTTCTGTATTGCTAAAACCTCTTAAACAATGAGTAATTGAAGTGTTCTGATTGACATCCACAGACAGATCTAGGAAATCTTCATCTTTACTGCTAACCTTCATTGGCAAAAATGACTTTATTAATCAAGGTTATGTAATAAATACATATTAAATAAGTAGAAATCTTAAATATTGGGTTATTCCATAAGTTCTGGCCGCAATTGTACAAGTAAATTAGCATGCAATTATACAATTTTCCATTGAAGCATAGTGTTACAGAAGACCGCTTCTATTTCTAATAATCCGGTAAAACAATTTGTCACATTCCACTGGTATTATTACATGAACACAGCTTGACTAACACAAACCTGCCTTTACCATTCATACCTACAGCTGCATGTATTACTAATAATCTTTTATTTTAAAATTAACTTAGATTATACAGACTCTTCAAACTAAATTTTTTCAAGAATCTAAGTGTTATATGACAGGAATTTTTGGACTATCAATCCATTCCTAATAAATGAGAACAAAAATTAGCAATCACAGGATACATATTTTTTGCCTGTTTCTTGACAGGAATTTTTGGACTATCAATCCATTCCTAATAAATGGAAACAGAAATTAGCAATCACAGGATACATATTTTTTTGCTTGTTTCTATGTAGGCAAATGGAAAGTGGAAGCCACTGATCATCTGCCCAATCCTAAAAAGAATTCATCAGGCAAATGTACCGTCGTCAACTCATTACATTATGAATAGGTATTTATGTGGCAACTTTGATATGCAAGTAATCATTTGATAATCATTTTTCAGTTCATGAGTTAGTACATTTTTTTGTCCTTATTTGTCCTCGTTTTTTGTACATTTGGAACATAATGAGACACTGGATTTTGCCAACTAATGAAAGAGAAAGTGATGTATTTCTTCAGAAATATGGAATTTGCCTAAGAGGAGAGAAAGAAAAAATTTGCATTCCAAGAAGCTGTACTTAGTAGACATTCAGATTTGTGCAGTGATGACACATTTGTTAAATTCTCAAATTTGTGAAATTCTTTGATGCTTTTTTAAATGCAACAGATTGTGTACATGGGAAAACAACAGAATGTGCAATGCCAAATTTGGAAAATTATCTGATTTTTTAAGCAAAAATATATACAACTGTGTACATGGGGAAACAACAGTATGCACGTTGCCAAGTAGCATATGATGTCAAGATTCTGCAGTTATCTGATGTTTTCTTAAAGTTTAGAACACGGGTAACCGAAATATAAGCACCCCCCCCCACACGCTATTTAGGGTGCGGAGATATTGTCCGATAACCTTCCCCTGCCCCTTGTCCCACAACTATGGTGTCTCATAAATTGCCTTTCATTCTTTCTCAACAGTGGAATGTTAGCGTGAGGAAAAAAATTTAATTGCGTTTCGCATGATTAACTTGCTTTCTAGAACTCTACACAAGTAACTTAAGCACATTATAATATGCATATTAGTATGATATTAGTATATGCATATTAGAAAATTTTAATTACTTTATTTTGAATTTATATATATATATATATATGCATATGAGGTAAACGTGCATATGCAACACAAACCCAAATGGCGTAACATGTATGCATGCTAATTGTCTATGTATATACAAACAGATATAGGCATATTAAATACATATGTGGATAAACACATACACGTTTTGTGTGTGTGAATACCACATATATATATGATAACTGTGTATATATAGATGCATCCATGAATGTATATCTGTATATATATATATACACCAGGTGGCCATAATTAAACTGACAGTGCTCACAGTGTTCTGTAGCGCGATCTATTTGCGAGAATGATGCCACATTTTGTAGGAAGATTAAAGAAGATGGGGGACTAAGGATTTCGGAAAAAACAAATTAGTTCCAAAAGTCACCACTAGGGGAATATTTGGCGCTGTGTAATAGAAAATAGAGTGTTAACAAATGCAAATCAATACGGAAATTACCTTTTATTTTGCATTCAAATGAGGTTCAATGTGGCTGTCGAAACTCTATTGTTGTGGACCACATATTGCATTCTGTGCACAGTATGCACAACAGCAGAAAGTAACATGTCTGCAGGAATCTCCCGTACAGTCCGTGATATGTTATTCTTCAACGTAGCCAGGTCCTGGACCACTCCTTGATAGACCTTGGACTTAAGGTAACCCCATAGCCAGAAGTCGCATGGGGTAAGATCAGGCGACCGAGGTGGCCATGGAAATTAGCAAAAGTAGTGGCTAATGACTCTTTCTGTTGTGAATTTCTGTCGTAGCATCTGTTGCACCCGTACAGCAAGGTGTGGAGGGGCTCCATCTTGCATGAAAATGATTTCCCCAGGCATTGTCTTTGCTGAAGTGCCGGAATGACAAAGCTGTTCAACACGTGGCGATATTTCTCTCTGGTAACAGAACAGGTTTCCGGTCCTGTCGGGGTAATGTTCTCATAGATGAATGGACCTACGATAAATTCCACTGTGAACCCACACCAAACAGTTACCTTTGGTGAATGTAAGGGAATTGCTGTGACTGCATGTGGTGATTTGTCATCCTAAATTCGGCAGTTCTGGGTATTCACAGCTCCATTCAGGTAAAAGTGGGCCTCGTCTTCCCATAAGATTTTCCACAGCCAAGCATCATCCACCTCCATTCTGGCAAGAAAGGTGAGAGCAAAAGTGAATCGCTTATCATGGTCGGGGTACAGTAACTCCTGTACACGGCTGATCTTGTACGGATAGAAGTTGATAATCTTTCGTAAGATTTTCCATACCATACTGTAAGGCATATCCATATCCGAGCTATCCTCGAGCGCTAGAGTGGTAGCAATATTGTCTGGTCCTCTGTTGACAATCGCTGTGGCAACTGCTTTGATTGTATCCTGCGGTACAGGTTTTCGTCCTCTGCCTGACTGAACCTTCAGAGAACCTGTTTTCTCAAACGTCGCAACCATTGCTTTTAGCCCATTAACTGACACAGGACTGTTACCTTTACGCATTTCTTTGTGCGTTCTAAAAGCACGAAGAGCGGTTGACGCGTTGCACTGGTTGAGGTAAAAGAATTTGACCAGTAACGCACGCTCGACAAAAGAAGGAGACATTGCACATAAGCTTTCAATCCAATTGATCCGAAACGTAACACATTGCCTTTTAAAACCCAAGCAGCTGGCACTGTACGAATGGATGTAACGTGAAATTTGAATAAAGAACTTGTTCTTCTGCTCAGCGTACGTGATATTGCAGATCACGAGACTTTATCGGTGTTTATGTGGATTTTACGCTTTTTTAAAATTGTTGCCTTATTGCACTTGAACTAAATCAGAAAATGTTCATAAAAAGGTTTAATTTTATTCCATATTTAATTTGCATTTATTAACACTATTTTCTATTACACAGCACCAAATATTCCCCTAGCGGTGACTTTTGGAACTAATTTGTTTTTCACGGAATCCTTCGACCCCCATCTTGTTTAATCTTCCTACAAAATGTGGCGTCATTCTCGCAAATAGATCGCGATACAGAACACTGTGAGCACTGTCAGTTTAATTTTGGCCACCCGGTATATATATATAGGTACTTTTTGTTTAGTTCATAAGCTTTTCTTACATCATATATACATTTAAAATCAGATTTAAATTTAATTTTTTTTCATTCAGTACTGAAGTTTAATCCAAAAATATGAGAGATTAAACGTGATAACATTCCAATTACTGATGATTTTATGGAAAGAGAATAATTCCTCTTATAAAGTTAGAATCTTTCTATGAGATCACCAAATAATTACTCTCATATATTTGCTTTCTATTTTACTTTTATTTTAAATATTTGACTTTGATTTGTTATTGAATAAATTTAATATATTTTCCCCATTTCCTTTTCTGCAGTTTTAAAGCTTTTTTACTAAGATTTAACTTTTAAAAAAATTTCTCATTAAATTAGCATTTACTCTTCATTTCTTAGGAGATAATCAAAATGAATATTAATATCACTTAATCAATTGAATATCACTTAATGGCATATCAGTCGATATACACTGGTGGTTCTCGAAAATTCTATTCTCTGTTGCAGCTAAATAAAGCTTCTGTTTTTTCCTTCACGTACACACATACAACGAATATATGGGCCAGTTACATGCAGAAAATCCCTATCAAACACCCACCAGTAGCAGAGCGATAAAAAGCCGCTAAACACTAGTAGTTCAATCCGGGAGTCCCGGTGAATGGTCTGGCTGGATGGATGTTTTCAAGGCATTCCCCGCGTGTAATATGGATACAAGCCAGTTGCCCCTATGACCTCCTCCACGTCCTTCCCTTTCCATGTAGTGCCTAATGGCAGAGCATGTAGTAGGTAAATAATAATAAATATAGTTGTTAACGATGTTATTCGTCCATGTAGAGAAACAGCGCTAGCATAATTTTGCATAATAACACAATCTAATTCATCTATGCTATCTAATTTTATCTTATCTAATTTATCTTATTTCATATTTCACTGACAGACTGAATTACTTTTCGACATAAGCCTCCTTTTTTAATTAAGAATGAAACTGTCATCACTGTGGTGAAGTAATAATAAGAAATACTATAACATTTGTAATCTCAGTATTCCTCACATTTCTGTGCATAGTGAAAATACGAGCTAAATTCCTGTAAAAGTGACCTGCATAACAGCACCTATATTTTGACAGGATACTTAACTTTTTATGAAAATTCCAGTCTTTATATGCATATATCAATAAAAGTTGGAATATTTGGATTACAACCAAGGCACAAAGAAATATCTGCTCATTTTTTTACATCCCTGCATGTCATAAGTCTTAAGAAATTAAAACTAGAACAATGTGGCAGACTTTTAATAACTGCTTAGTATACATAATGACTTTGCTATTTTTGACTCTGAAAAGGGAATTTGTGGAATGACCCAATATATCAAAGAATACAAATATAACAGGGTTCATAGCCACATTTTAGTTCAAAAAATAAGCACCTATAAGCACTTTTCAAGCACATTTTAAGAAAAAAAATAAGCACCTGTCTAATTACATTATACACAACTGCATAACTTCAAAAATTTGACTCGTAATTCAAAAATT